AACCTATTACTTGGACTACAGCTTGTGAGACAAACTACAGAGAAGGTAGCAGTGATTCAGGAGCACATACTTATAGCACAGAGTCGTCAGAAGAGTTATGCAGATCAGAGACGACGACCTGCTAGAGTTCCAGGTTGGAGACTATGTATTGTTGAAAGTGGCACCAATGAAGGGAATTCAGGGATTTGGTAGACGGGGAAAAGCTTGTCTCGAGGTATATTAGCCCGTTCAGGATAGTGGAGCACATTGGAGCCGTTTCATATCGGCTAGATCTTCTAACATCGATGTTGAGTATACACGATATCTTTCATGTTTCGATGCTTAAGAAGCATCTACGCGACGAGGAGCAGCAGCGAGTGTTAGACACGCCAAATATTAAAATTCATGATGATTTGACTACTATTGAAATTCATGTGTGTATTCTTACCAAGAAGGACAAGAGACTTAGAAACAAAGTGATTCCTCTAGTCAAAGTTCAATAGAACCGGAAAGGAGCTGATGAGGCTTCTTAGGAGCGCGAAGAGAATATACGTCGTGACTACCGCACCTATTTGAGCAAGTAAATTGATTGATTAATTATGATTTGCTTTTGCTTGTGATTTGGTTATATGGTCATATTTATATTTAACGCTAGAATGAGTGTATTAACACTTAGCTCCTTATCAATTATCATTCGGAATACATGGTATATATATGTGGGGTTCCTTGTTTGGATTTTTCAAATGTCATACTAGTTCCGCGTAGTTAGGAGTTAAGTGGGAATATTCGCATTCGAGATGGTTAAGTGTAGATATTGCTATGTTTCATATTTGAGATTTAATGGTACGAGATGTGTACGAAAGGGTTTCCTTGTTTGGATTATCCTCTCTTGGTGCTTTTCTCATATTATTAATCCCTAAGGTACGATTACGGAATTTCGGGGACGAAATTCTTTTAAGGGGGAAGAATGTAAAACCCTAAAAGTTTGAATAAATTGTGATAAATTGTAATAAATATATTATATGGTCATAAATAACATATTTTGATGTTTGAGTATGCTAGGGATTGATTTTAGATCAATCCAATGTATATATGTGAATATAGATGAGAAACATGCACGAAATCATGCACAAACCTGAAACTGAGTTGTTAGTAGTCGACTACTACTCAGAGTGAGAAACATGCACGAAATCATGCACAAACCTGAAACTGAGTTGTTAGTAGTCGACTACTACTCAGAGTAGTCGACTAGTAAGGTTGTTAGTTGACTAATCGACTACTACTCAGAGTAGTCGACTAGTAAGGTTGTTAGTTGACTAATGAAGGCATTAGTCGACTAATCGGGCTATTTCCAGAATTCTTTCAGGTTTCGAGTTGGTTTTGTTTATTTTCAAACCCAGTTGTTTATACCCCTATATATACTCATTAAAACCTATTTTCAGAGATATAATTCGTGAGAACAGCAACCACCTTCCTCCTCAAAGCATAGCCCTAGTTTTTTAGATTTGGGAGAGTTTTGAGGCGTTTGTCGAGAGGAAGGCGGAGTTTGGTGATCGTGGTTGAAGAGGAATCTTGCATACACGTGGTTGAGGAGTTCAACAGCACCCTGAGGCAAGATCATCTTTATCCAAACATGCACCCTTAGTAATTTAAAGATTTAATGTGTTTAAATTAGTATTTTGCATGTTTATTCATAGTTACATATGATAAAAAGTAGATTCTTGATAATAGATCTTTAACCCATGATAGATCTAACGTTTTTTCTTGTTGTTTATATTAGAAGCATGATTATGATCATTAGGGTTAATGATAATTTCGTTTTTAACTTGTTAATTAACTTTAACTCATGTGCAAACCCTATTTTGTTAATTAATTGAGTTTTTCTTGTAACTAATCATGCTAAAACCTAGGGTTGTGATATCTAGGCTTTGTAATCAGATTTAAAACGAAATATATCTCTGTCATGTGTAGTTTCTATCATGCTTTGATAATCATGTTGATTACATATGAGTAATTGAAGAAATTGATTAACAAAGATGTTAACCATAATTAGATTAAGTTAATTATATGTTTCATGTTCAAAGAATAACATGGTAATGAATGCATATTAGTCATTCAAAAATACTTGGATGAAAAGACATTTGATCCAGATTTTTATTTTGCTATTGAATTAGATACTACATGAACTATGAGGAGTGTATTTTGGGCAGATGGACGTGCAAGAGAATCATTCTTAAAGTTTCATGACGTTGTTATTTTTTATGTTACATATAGAACTAACAAGTTGGCACTGCCTTTTGCTCTATTTACTGGTGTTAACCACCATAGGCAGTCAACTTTGTTTGGTTGTGCACTAATTGCGGATAAGAAAGAAGACACATTTGTCTGGTTGTTTACTGAGTGGGTTAAATGTATGAATTGAGTGGCTCCACATGCCATTATTATAGACCAGGACAAAGCTATATGCAATGCCATTCAAAGAGTGTTTCTAAATACTCGACATCGCTATTGCAAATAGCATCTTGGCAAGCACATGGTTGATCATTTATTATCTCTACAAAACTTGCATGGGGAAGAGTTTGCGAACTACTTTAATAGATGGTTGCATAGCAAGACAATTGAAACATGTATTCAACAATGGGATGAGTTAAAAGAAATGTTCAATATAGAAGAAAATGAGAAAGGTTGGTTATAAACCATGTACAGAAAAAGAACACATTGGGTTCCATGCTATCTCAAAGATACTTTCTTTGCAGGAATGACATCAAGCTAACGTAGTGAAAGTATAAATGCCTTCATTGACACATATGTCAACTCACAAATATTGTTGCCTGATTTTGTTGAGCAATATGATAAAGCAATATTGTCGTGTCTTTCTCAAGAATTACGTAAATATTTTGCTACTTTATACAAAGCCATTGATGCATCTAAACCATCCGATTGTGATTCAAGCTGGAGGTCATATACAAGAGCTATATTTGAGAGGTTTCAAGATGAGCTTAAAGGTTCTGTATATTTGTTTCATGATGAGATGGGAAAAGAAGAATCAATTTCTAAATACATAGTTGGCTTGCTCTCTACTGAAAGAAGTGTATGGGAGCATGTAGTTTATAATCAAAATGAACAGAGAATAATACATGTGCTACGTTTGAGACTGATGGAATATAATGTAGGCATGCCATTCATATTATGATATCGAATCACTTGGTAAGAATTTCTTAAGAATACATTATGCATAGATGGACAATGAATGCAAGGCACCGTAATATTAGAGTCTTTAATGTGTTGCTGGAAAAAAACTTTAATAGCAATAGAGAACAATTGAGTACTTTGCGCTCTTGGGCTTTGAGAGAAAATTTTAATAACGTGATGGAGTGGGCACCTGAATCACCTATGGTCTTTGATGAAAGAGATACTTTTTTTAACTTGATGGAAAAACATGAAAAAGATACTAGTGCTAAGCAAATCAAGGGGACTGAAACTACAAGTCGGGTTGAATCTAGTACTACTCCTTCCCATACTATTGAGGAACTCCCTCAAATCATTGTTCGTGACCCTCTCGAGTCTACGAAGCATAAGGGATGGCCAAGAACAATTAGCAAATTGAAATCGAGACTTGAAAAAGCACATGAAAAAAGAAGATAAAAAATAGGACATGTGGCAGATGTGATCAAAAGGGACATTATAAAAGTAGTTGTAGTAATTCTCTTGTTGCTAATCTGTCAAATAACTAGGTATTTTAATGTTTAATTGTTCACAAAGATACTTACATTAGTTGACTAATGCATCTTATTTACAGCTAGTTGCATTTATTCATCTGATTCTTGTTTATTTATACAGGCAGGATTTGAAGTTCATCATTTGACTCCTAGCAGTAAGTCATTTTGGATCTGAAGAATTTAATCTCTAAAAGTAATGTACCGTGTTATTCTCTTCTTGTGTAGTTAAAATATTACTCTTGCAAAGCTAAAATGTCTAAAATCTTTTTGCATGAACAGATGTTAGTCCTCTTTGGATGGGCTTTGTTAATACTAATTTCACAAAGGCTTCAAATGAGACAAGATGAGGTGGTCCTTATGCAAGGACTTGCAAGTCAAACTATAACCTAGAGCGCATATCAAGCAGTTCAACAAATTATACTTTCATTCTCCTTCAAATTTAAGTAGTAGCTCCTCTTGTGCATTGGTCTTTTCAGCATTGTGTACTTGCTTTCTATTTTTATTTCTGTTGGATGATTAGTGATTGTTCTCTGTTCTAAATTGTATCAGATGATTAGTTACTGCTCTCTATTTTTAGTTGTGTTAGATGATTAGTGCTTGTTCTTTGTCTTCTTTTACATTGGATGGTTAATATGTATGTATGCCAATTGTCACTTTAGCCACAAATGAGTAAAATTCAAAACTATATTATTGTTATTTCTTTTTATAAGCAATGTTTTTTCTTTCAAGTAAGAAGTGAAATCTTCTTGATATTTGTTACTAATTCAAATTGATTGATAGTGGAGATTTTGTCTATAAGGTACTTTTGAGCTACTATGAAATTTGTGATTTCTTTGGGGACTAGTTACAGATGTGTTTATAAATTCGATATGATATGCGACGTTGTCATATATTATGACTGTAAGTTGCTCTAACATGTTGGGTTTAAGATTATATTTATGAACTACTTTCCTGCTATTTCTTCATGTTGAATTTATATATGTGTCGTGTAAATGTAGGAAATTACATGGTGACATCAATTATCATGTTCATATTCAATTGTCATGCACAAGGTCAATTACCAATAGCTAGAAAAGTTGCTTGCTGCTATTAGTCATCAAATATCATGTACAAGGTTTAGAAATAAATCCCTCCAACATATTGCCAAAATTATTAATTTCAACTTGGTTTGTTTAAATCTAGATGCATGATGTGATGGTCCAGATAACACAATCAAAAATAGTTCTCAAACTGAATTAAACTACAAGCAAAGATCAAGAAAGTAGAAAAAAAATTAATCAGCAAGTAATGACACAAGCAAGATCAAAAATACTTCTATGAATAAGTCAGGAACAAGTATTTCCAATTAATTTCATTTCCTGTATTACATACAATGATGGATAACTCAAAAATCTACATCGAAATCAAATATACAAGTTAATTTTTTTTCTTAAACTTCATTCATCCAAGATTGTCTTCTTTTCTCATTTCTTTTTGTCTTTTAGCCTTCTCATCCTGCACAATTCCATGAACAAAGGGTCAACAAGACCTGTAAACTATATCAATAAAAAAACTAATATTGTGCATCAATCCTGCACAATATTAGTCATCAAATATCATGTAAACCCAAAATTAAAGTTGGTTCCTTTAAAAAATAAAATTTAATAATTCTAATAATTCTAAACTATTGCAAACTTTTAATAGATAAAAATTAAGTTGCTTCCTTTAAAAAGTAAAAATAAAAAACTTTCATTAACTAGATTGAATTAAGGAGTCATCCAATTATGAGTTTATGAGAGTAATTAACAAAACTAAAAGATTCATAAAGTACCTGAGGATGCTCAGAGATGATCCTTCTTCCTTGGCTTGAAAATTAGGTGTCCTGAAGATTGGCGAAGGTGATGCGTCCATTCTTCGCTTGAGAATTGGGTTCAATTGCATTTATTTTTCAAAGATCGGTGATGGATATTTGGGATACGAAGATGGAGGAGGAATAGAAAGTAGCGGTTTTGGGGAAGATGAGAAAGCAACGACGCTTTTAGGGAAGGAAGTGTGGGATTTTTTGCATCTAATCCTTATCCTATTTAAATTTCAAATTAATGTCGAATGTTAACTGTTATTTTAGTATTTATTGCTAATGTGTGACAATCGAATTAAATTTTGACATGTGACAGCAGTACAAGAATTTTCCTATGCTGCCATCTCACCTCCCGTTTTCTCTATATGCTATAAAAACTAATGTCGTAAAAACTAATGCTGTAAAAACTAATTGACTGACAAAACTAACGCTATAAAAACTAATTCTGGCAAGTCGATTAAAAAGTTTCATCGGTCGACTGAAAAGACTGCTCGGTCGATCGATCCAAGCATTCGGTAGACTAAAAAACTGATACAGTAGATACTTGAATTTTGCTGAAAAGTTGATTTTCTAAATTCGATTTAAAATAGCAAACAATTCCAAAAATAATAAAACTTGGGAAAATGTTATACATATGAAAATAAACAAGTTGGAAGAGAAATTTCTAAAATAGCATTTCTCATTTGTGAAAACTCACTATTTTGCAAAAACGGTCAAAAATATGAGATCATTAGATATGATTTCATAGATGAATAGAATCAACAAAAATACGAAACTGTTAAATAATTGATTTTGATGAAATCATTTTACACACGTAATCTTCTCAAAAGATGTATAATGATCAATATGAAAACAAATGTGTATGTGTATTATTTGAGCTTTAAGTAAAACACATAAAGTAAATACCTAAACTACAAACAATATACCTAAGCTAATAATCTTCATTAAGCTCGACCTTGGTAGCGGGGATGAAGCGATAGTGTGTCTTTGACTTGAATGGCATAGCACTTCATTTCGATTTCCTTCCAACCTCCAATAGGATGTCATCGTTAAAGTGCAAGTCCATCCAACCTCCAACGGATGATGTTTGTGTAGGATACCTAACAAGCAAATACAAATACTCGAAAATATGTTAGGAATTTGTTTGTTAATCATTAAAACCAGATTAGATAATAGGCTCATAAACATGAGACCTAACATTCCTGAGGAATTCTTACCAACTGATTTGATATCATAATATGAATGACATGCCTACATAATATACCATCAGTCTTAAACATAGCACATGTACATGTTATTCTCTGTTCATTTTGATTATAAACTACATGCTCCCATACATTTCTTTCAGTAGAGAGCGAGCCAACTAGAAATTGATTCTTTTTTTCCCATCTCATCATAAAACAAAGATACAAAACCTTTAAGCTCATCTTAAAACCTCTCAAATATAGCTCTTGTATATGACTCTCCAGCTTGAATCTCAATCGGATGATTTAGATGCATCATAAGCTTTGTATTCAAAGTAGCAAAATCTTCACTTAATTCTTGAGAACGACGCGACAATATTACTTTATCATATTGCTCAACAAAATCGGGCAATAATGTTTGTGAGTTGATGTATGTGTCAAAGACGGCATTTATACTTTCACTATGTTGGCTTGATGTCATTCCTGCAAAAAAAATATCTTTGAGATAGCATGGAACCCAATGTGTTCTTTTTTTGTACATGGTTTGTAACCAACCTTCCTTATTTTCTTCTATATTGAACTTTTCTTTTAACTCATCTCATTGCTGAATACATGTTTCAATTGTCTTGCTTATTTTCTTCTATATTGAACTTTTCTTTTAACTCATCTCATTGCTGAATACATGTTTCAATTGTCTTGCTATGCCACCATCTATTAAAGTAGTTCTTTTAACTCATCTCATTGCTGAATACATGTTTCAATTGTCTTGCTATGCCACCATCTATTAAAGTAGTTCACAAACTCTTCTCCATGCACCTTTTGTAGAGATAATAAATGATCAATCATGTGCTTGCCAAGATGCCATTTTCAATAGCGATGTGGAGTATTTGGAAACACTCTTTGAATGATATTGCATATAGCTTTGCCCTAATCTGTAATAATAGCATCCAGAGCTACTCCATTCATACATTTAACTCACTAAATAAACAACCAGACAAGTGTGTCTTCTTCCTCATCTGCAAGTAGTGCACAACCTAACAAAGTTGACCGCCTGTGGTGGTTAACACCAATAAATGGAGCAAGAGGCAGTGCCAACTTGTTAGTTCTATATGTAACATAAATAATAACAACGTCATGAAACTTTAAGAATGATGCCCTTGCCCATCCATTTGTTCAAAATACACTCTTCATAGTTCCTATAATATCTAATTCAATAGCAAAATAAAAATCTAGATCAAATGTCCTTTTATCTATGAATTTTTGAATGACTAATATGCATTCATTACCCATGTTATTCTTTCTCTATTTTCTAATATGATCACTACATTGTTGCGGTGTGACGATTTCCTCCTGACGCCAACTACTAACATTTATTACTCGTGAAATTGTTGCTAGCGAAAGCCCTTCTTCATGCAAACTATCAATCAGACTTAGATAACCTTTTGTTCGATGTAACTTTTGATGTCAATAATGATTCTTAACCTTATCTAGACTAGTCAACTCGTGATTTGTATGCTCATTAACAAGTTTGCTCACTATTTGTGTACCTTTATCAGTTCAATTGACCCGCAACATCGCCTTGCAACCTACTCTAGTATCTCTTCGACGCTTAACTATTTTTCCGTGCTCTCTCTTATCATTTGTAGATTTTAGACCCTCCTTAATACAAACAAATTTCTTAGATATGAGTTCTTTTCCTTGTAACGCCCCTGATTTTCACACTGGCTACAGTCCAGGGTGAACCCCAGAGATGTTAGGACTTGCTATGCACCTTACTCTATGCATAAGCAATCTTAACATGACACCATTGCTATTACTCTAGTAAATGCCAAACAACAATAGGAGACACCCAAAGTCTAATCAAACAGTCTTAATATCATGGCAAATCTTATAAATAAGGGTACACAACAAGTATATAATGATTTATAATATTCTCAAGCTGAAATTTAGGCACAACACAGTTCAAAGCTTGAAAGTGAACATATATCATATATGTGAGAAGTTCTAAACAAGAACATAAATCTAACAGACTCTATACAAATATCCAAGTATCACTAATATCTAACACTGTATCAAAATATACATATCTATAGGAGGGTCTCTGCCTCTAAAAAGGTAAAACTTACACAGGTACAGCCCTGCTCCGGCTACAAGAGTAAAGACAACAAAAACTACATGATGGAGTACTACCTAGCAAAAGAAAGGTTGGCTGCTACAAGCTAGTCTGCGCCTCTTTGCGCTCCTGAAGATCTACTTGAAATAGACTAAAACAATCTCCTGAGTGGCTCATAGGCCTAACTCAAGCAACAAGCTTGTGTTATCATAAACAAGCTCATATCAACATATATTAAATTTATAATGCCAATAATGCAGTAGATGATCATCACCCCATCGTGATCATCCAATTCCCAAACGATACGTGCTCCCACGTATCGCGCAAATATCAAAATTAAGCTACGAGAGCTCTATGGCTAAACACGTGCACCACGTATGGATCTCGTACAACATGCTTACATCCATATATATATATATATATATATATATATATATATATTGTGAAGGTCATGCGTCGATTACTAAGGAATGAAACTCAAATCTTCGTGTAACCCTCTTTCCAATGAGGTATCAGCCTTGTGCAACAGTTTTCTGCAGCATATGTTGTTAGTAAATTGAGCATATATTTCTCTAGACAAACTCCTTTTAAGAATAGTTTTTTATTTGGAAACTAGATTCACACATCTTTCATTCGGTACTGGTTTGGTTCAGTTTGGAGTTTATTTGTTATCTCAAATTTTCAGCTAAAGTTTATGTACGTGCACTGAGCAGTTTTTTGCAGAACATGTTGTTAGTAAATTGAGTATATCTTTCTCTAGACAAACTCTTTTTAAGAATGATTTTCTGTTTTGGAAACTGGATTTATACATCTTTCATTCGGCACTCGTTTGGTTAAGTTTAGAGTTTATTTATTATCTCAAAATTTTAGCTAAAGTTTATGCACGTGCACTGAAAAGACAATCTGACCCCTCTTGGATTGTTTTGCATGTAACTTTGTCTTTTGTTTGGATAAAAACATCTTTATAATTCAATTAGTCAAAATATAAATATTTGATCATGAATCTAACTCAAGTACACAACCAAACAAACCATATTAAAAGAGGGTGAGAATTGGAGGAGATAAACTTGCCTTGAGAGGGATTCAATCTCCAAAAATCAAGAATTAATGGATCAGCATTCACAAGAGTTGTAGATCCGCTCGACGCCAATCCTTATCGTTCATGAAGTTTTCTCAAATTCCTCCAAAAAATATTTGACCCACCATGGCCATGGGTTCACGTGAGCTTGAGGGGAGGAAGAAGATGATTAGAGAGAGAGAGAGAATGGTCATGACAATATATATATATATATTCCCTCTCTCTTACACTCTCATCCTCTTAAAGAGAAATCAAGGGTCTAGATCTAATCTCTATCAACCAAACCCTCATCCAATGGCTAATGGCAAAAGTTGACCAAGTCAACTCTCCATAATAGTGCTAAGCGATGCGGAAGCCAAACAACCAAACCAACGTGCTACGAGAAATCAAATCAAATGAACATCGAGAGATGGCCAAATGAACCAAATCAATGTTATAAACACAAACAATCAATTTTAACATGGTTCGGCAAGTTGCCTACGTCCACGGGGCAAGAAGGGGATAGAGTTTTTCACTAGTAGAGAAGAAGAGTACAAACTAAAATTACAAATTACTCAAACTCACTAATTAATCTCACCAACAAATCTCTAATTCTCTCCAAACAAAACCCTAACCAATAGCTCAGAAAATACCTCTTTTCTGTGCTCTAAATATCCCCAATTTTTTTCTCAATTCTCTCTTCCAATTGTTTCATATATATAGAAATCCTAAAATTATAAACATAAAATGAATTCTAAAACAAAAAACAAAACAGATTAGGAATCCTAATAACCTATTACCTAAGCAGATTTGAAATCATGTTACCAAAACAGATTAGGAATCCCAATAA